GCCCTGCCCCAAGTAGCTTAGTATAATTTTTGTTGTGATGTAGTGAGTGGGTGTTAGAGACATAAGGACCAGATGAGGTAAGGAAGGCAAAGGCTGCTCACAGAAATTACTCAGTGGCATRTGCATAGTTTCATGTCTTACTGTTATATAACTTTTTTTTGTCCCTCTAAATACTTTTTGCCTCCTTTTAAAGAAAGAATGCTTATTTCCAGAAAATTATAAACCAAGTCACACACCAACAAAATGCCCTCRCACATCAGAGAAGTCTTTGTGAAAGAGCAAATCTCTAATGAAAAAATGGAATTACAATCTGAATAACAAAGAGCAGACGAAAGAAAGGTGCTATCATAAACTAGCGTGAAATTTTTATTCAGATGTGTGGTGAAATAAATGTAGGTTTAGGTTAGTTTGAAAGTTTTTTTGCCTGCATTTAAAACTGATTTTATTCATGTATTTATTTATTTGTGTGATAGCAATTTTATTGATTCAGCAAGTACCAAAAATTGTAGTTGGGATTAGAGAGACTGCGTAAAGGATAATGTGGGGAAAATTGRTATAATTTATTTAAAATAATTGATTTGTTACTTAAAAGCTTATTTTACCTTAACTCTTTGCGGGTTAGTGTGATAGTGTAGAATATCACAAGGAATTGTAATGCCAAAGTTAATCTTTTGTCTGCTCGTGTTTAAAATGTAATTGATGAACACATMATTGACGGAACTGTTAGTCTCCACACCTGTGTCTCTCACATAGAAGGCAGAGTCTAGTAGCCAAATAAAAAGGGTTGTAAATCAAAAACAGCTCCGCTCAATAATAATTGTCATTATTATTCAGTGCATAGCTCAGATTTTCTTCTTCATGCATATAAAACACTGGTGAGGGACTGTACTAGTTCATTCTTTGTGGTACTTTTCAAATATTAGTATCRAGAATATCTCTAGTATTGCAGGCATGTCTATGCATTAATGATCTGTTTGAATTCACTATTTTCCTCTCTTTCCAAAGATGGGGAACACTGTTTTTAGAGTTTCTCAATATCTGTGTGTAACTCTTTAGTTTTAATTTTATCTTTGGTCCATACTGAAAGATTGGGAAAAATTTGGGTTGTTTTCTTGGTTGTTTGTTTTTCCTTCCTAGGCAAAGTRGTATCTTAATTTGTGGCATAGACTTTGCCAGGTATTGACCTTAGTCCTTTTATCTGAAGTATAGGATTTTCTATGGGCTGAGGTATAGGATTTTCTATGGAATGTAGAGTTCAGAGTCTTTTTCCACATAGAAATTAGTATGCTCTTGGCTTCCTGAATCTGTAGACTGCTGACACTGCTACTCTTCATGGGTTTCCAAAAAA